AAAAACATGATGTCTACATTTTATTTTTTTTGGACATGCAAATCTGATAATGCCTAAGTAATATGATGAGAGTCAGCAGAAGCTTACCTTGCAGCTGGAAAAGACTCTGTGAGCGGGAGTTTGGCCCTGAACTCTATTGATGTTCTGAGCAGCTTCTTCACGTGCTCAGCAGGCTGGAAGTTTTCAATTTCTGTAACAGCCAAGGGGTAATGTTCTGACTTCTTTGAGATGGAGGTGGATGGAGAGTGTATTGCAGTATGAACACGAAAGTTAGGATAGCTTCTAATATGTGAATCAGAAACTGTGTGGATGGTTTTAGTCAAGAAACACTTGAGAACAAATGGAGTTTGAATGCAAGAAATCAAAAGTTAACAAGTTTTGTATTTTATGTTATAGCTTTGGGCTCTTGGAATTTTAGCAGGGATTCAAGGATTTTTCTTTCTTAATTTCTTCGACCCTTTTACCGTTGCCAATGGCTCTCAATTTATAGGCAAAAATCTTATAGCTTGGAGAAATCAAAAGTATAGCCATCATATGTTAGGCGCTGACTTGTTCTTGAAGCAAGTTCAAATAAGTATGGTTCAAGGCACAAAGTAAGGTGGTTAACAGCTTTTATCCTTGCCTAAACTGGATTTGTACGCATGAATTAAGGAAAATTACCCTCATAAGCAAAAGTGAAGCATGGGCCCAGCATAAACTTTGTATAAAATCTGCTTTTCAAGGACAACAATGGTACTTCTATGCCACACGTGGGGAAATCCTTTGGATAAAGACTCAAAAGTAGTTGTGAGCATTAAATGGTGATAAGATTTATCAAACCAGAAATCCTGCAATGTGAGATTTTGCATCATTGCTTAATTTTGGGTCAGAGGTTCAGCTTCAGCATAATTTATAATAATCATCCAACTTCTGATCCTTGTATCTCCTTGCTCCAGCATGTTCTGAAGGAACTCTCAGACTTTCCAGGAAGCTTGTAGCATGCTTTGTAAAATTCTTTGAATTTCCCTTGTAAACTCTGACCAAACCTTTATGAAAACTAAACCAGAAGTTCTGACCCAACTCTGTCTTGAAAGTGTTCAGAATTTGTTGAGTGCTTTAGTTTCATGGACGTGTCTTTGAACATTTATAACTTGAAATTCCAGCATTTCCAGGGGAAGTTCTGTTCTGCAATGTTTTAGATCTTATTGAAATCTATAACTTTTGTGCCAGAAGTTCTTCCAGAATCAGCTTGCATCATGGTGATAAACTGATCAGAAGTTCTGAGCTTGTCATATTTCTTAAACACTTAGAAAAATTCTAAGTATTTAGAATTTTGACTTTTGAATTTCTTGATGAAACAAACTTCATGTTTCAACGTGTCTTGATGAAATGTGATTCTTGAAGCTTGATTTTGATCCAAAAGTCAAAGTTTGACTTTTTAGTATGCAAATGACCATTTCGCCCTTGTGAATGGCTTTCTTGGAAAATTTGTAATTCATGGATTGAAATTGGATGGAAGCAAACCTGAGGGTCCAGGTTGATCCTTTGAGAAATGAGAGGGCAAATTTTGGGGTACAACAACATGAAATATCTCAAAATGGAAATATTTTAATGTGTCTGATTCTGTTTTCAAAACCCTATTAATAGTTGGTCTTTAATGTTATGTTTCTTTGTCTCCTCCACCATCTATAAATACAAGATGTTAAACACAAATCGAAGGGGGTAGACACGAGAAAACTACACAGGAGACATACAAAACGAATACACACACATATTGCACCAAGGACGCCTTGTCTATCGAAGGACCTCTACACAGCTTGCCTCCAAGAAAACGCAAAAAGTTGCACCAGCCATCCCACGTTCAGGATTCTAAATCGAAGTGTCTTCAGTGGGTAAAAGATTTTAATCTTATTCAATCTATAATATAAACTCGTGTGGATTGCATTTTCATATTATTCTTGTTATTTATAAATGGTTTAGCAAATCGAAACTCATGGCATAAACAATTTGAAAATCAAAGCAGCCCAGAGTTTCACTTTTCGTTTGGCTCTGAAACTAACAAACTTACAGGATTCAAAATGTTAGTTTTCCTTTATCCAGGTTGAACAGTTAGAAGGCATGCACTGGATGGAGGACCTGGGATTCGAATCCCAGGTCATACATTTTCATTTTTCTTTCTAACATATTCTATACAGATCTGATATGTACAATGGCCAGGCACTCATCATACACCATCATATTATCACCTTTAGATCATAGTTGATACAGAGCTAAGCGCTTCAATATGAAAAATCCATGGTGCATCCTCTGGAGGCCAGCACCGCTGAATCCCACGCTGACTTTGGCCTTGCCATCTTCTGGGCCTAACATTTTCCAGATCATCAGCACCCCCTAATTGCTGATCAACACCAGGCCCATTTTTTTCATTTAATTTTATTATTTCATTTTGTTTAATTATTTTATTAAATTCATTTCTTTTATTAGTTTAATCATAAAATCAATAAAAAAATCACAAAAGATTAGGATTTAGTTTTTTAATTAAATAATTAGTTTCTAAAATTAATTAATTAATTAACTTTAACCCTTTTCTTTCAAAATTAAAAGTAAACTAGAATTTAGGACTTACTTTAATTTTAATATTTGTTTTCATAAATATAAAAAACCACAAAAAATTTAGTTTATTTTCTAAATAGACTTTAGGGAAACTAATTTAATTTTTTCTCTTAAATCATAAATAAAAATAAAACCAAAAGATTTTTGTTCTTTACTTAGAATTTTTCTTAGTATTTTTTTGGACGTAATATTTCATTTCGCGCGTGTTATTTTTTATTCTCACATTTTATATAAATAATGTAACTAATTATGGGATGTAATAGTCTAGGTTTAAAATTACGCACTTTATTTCTTGCACTCTTTTTTTATGTAATTGTACCAAAGCATTGTAATAGCGTAGGTTTTATAATTCCCGCACTTTACATTTCCTGTACAATATTATTGTTAGTAACTAGGATTGCATGGAAAGATTGAAAATAAACGTTAGCGAATCTTAATGCAAAAGATAAATAACTGAATCTCAACACACTTGCACATACTCACCCTAGGGTATCTCCCACTTCGGTTGCCTTCGAAAACAGTCATGTCCCTCGAAACGGGGACGCTTTAGCAAAGGCCCGTAAATCAAAATATCATAGTCCCTCGATGACCCTACAGTTGCCTTTCGGTAAATGATCTAGTCCCTAAACAAAATTTCTAAAGTGTCTCTACATGTTGCCTTTATGACTGTAAACGTCCCTTTGATTGTCCCCCAAACATCCAACAATGGGTCTACCTACTCACTAATAGTAGGATAGCACTGTCTAAATGATAGGAGGAAAAGAACAAACCTTTTTCGAGTATAAAAGTAGATAGCTGTTAGAAGTTTTCTCAAAACAACTTTTTGCACCTACACAAAAACATTTAAAAAAACAACTTTCAAAATATTTTCTTTGTTAACACTCTTGAGGACTGATACAAGAGTTAAACACAAAGCAAATCGTTGCACTAAGGCATTTTCAAAATATTTTCAAACACACAAAGCACAAAGGTATTTTGAAATGAGCAAACCTCTAAGAGGCCGTAGAAAACTACGGATGTAAAGGATGCTAACACCTCCCCTTTCCATAATCTGCCCCCCCCCCCCCCCCCCCTACTCAGAAAACTCTCGAAAAATGTCTTTTTCTGTTCTTTTCACCCTTTCCCTTGTTGGATAAAAGAAAAGTCGGTGGCGACTCTTGCTTACCGCATATTTGCGGATACAAAGCGCAAAACCAATATTGAACAGTCGGTTTTGCCACTGCGCGATAATTAGGTTATGTTTTGATCATTTCCTTCCATTGTTTAGGTTCTGTTTTGATCAGTTCCTTGTCTATGGTTTATCCATTTTTATCAGATTTACCTTCTGTTAGATTAGCTAACGTTTCTGGTTAGGTTATATTCTGATCATTTCTTTTCCTTGTTTAAGTTCTGTTTTGTTCAGTTCCTTCTCTATGGTTTATTCGTTTTGATCGGGTTTACCTTCTGTTAGCTTCACTAACATTTCTGATTAGGTTATGTTTTGATCATTTCCTTTCCTTGTTTAGGTTCTGTTTTGTTCAGTTCCTTCTCTCTAGTTTATCCGTTTTGATCAGGTTTACCTTCTGTTAGCTTAGCTAATATATATGGTTAGGTTATGTTTTAATCATTTCCTTTCCTTGTTTAGGTTCTGTTTTGATCAGTTCCTTCTCTCTGGTTTATTATTTTTGATCGGGTTTACCTTCTGTTAGCTTAGCTAACATTTTCGGTTAGGTTATGTTTTGATCATTTCCTTTCCTTGTTTAGGTTTTGTTTTGATCAGTTCCTTCTCTCTGGTTTATCCATTTTGATCGGGTTTACCTTCTGTTAGCTTAGCTAACATTTCTGGTTAGGTTATGTTTTGATCATTTCCTTTTCTTGTTTAGGTTCTGTTTTGATCAGTTCCTTCTCTCTGGTTTATCCATTTTGATCGGGTTTGTCTTCTGTTAGCTTAGCTAACATTTTTGGTCAGGTTGTGTTTTAATCATTCTCTTGCCCAGTTAGAGTGTGTTTTGAGAAGTCTCTTTCTTATATGTTTCCAGCTTTGACCAGACACGCTATTATATTCCAAGTTCACCTTAATCGATGTTCTTTTTCTAGGATTCTATCTACGGTTAGCATTTTGATATCTTTGGTTGAACTCGTTGTATTAGATTTCTTCCTCCCTTGATATTTGGTTGAGATCACTTTGTTAGATCCCTTCCATTTCTGATAGTTTCATTTGAGATCGCCTTTTTAGGAATTAGTCTCTTTTATCTTTGGGTGAAATCATTGTGGAATCTCACCTTTTCCCGACATCTTCGATTGAGTCCGTTTTGTTAGGTCTCTTTCTTGTTAGACATTTTCATTAGAGTCTGTTGTAGTGGATCTTTTTCTTGAGTATCTAATCTTTGTCTTGTGTATGTCTAACCTTGACTTGACATCCAAGAGATTTACCAGGTAATCCCTGTAACCAAAAGAAGGGATCAAAATGTACAAAAAACCAAAAAATATAATAATATCTGACTGGCTTCGAAGCACACATTTTCGGGTTCTTTTAGTATTTAATCTTCTTCCACCTTGAAAGTTCGAAAGGTTGGCGTCAATCTCACCTTCAGGTTTAAGACGATTAAATAGGAGCAACTGTTGCACCCTAAAATTTGCCCTCATAATTTATTTTATCTATCTTAGGCTTAGCATCGCATTCGCATATTTTCATTAGGTCGTTTGCATAACATAACATTGCCTTCAAGCGCCTGAGGTTCAAAGTTCACTGGGTGTACAAGTTAGGGTTTTGCAGTGTGTTGAGGTACATATCAACAAAGCTTGTTTCTTCTTTTTTTCTTCGAGCAGTGAATTGCAAGGTTATAGTTATGAGATATGATTATCTGGAATCTCTTCTTCAAGGGCTGTGATCTATCCAATTCCATCAAATTCCAGAGATTAGAGTTTATTTCCCGACACCTAATCAAGATAATTGTGGTTTCTATTTAGAGTGTTTGAGCAGTGGTTTTAGTTCTTTAAATTGAGGCTCAAGGATTTAGGGTTGGCGGCTTGTTGATACTAAAATTTATGACTAATATTATTTTGAATCAGAGTTTGATTTCATTGTCTCAAATCGTATTCTCTTTCTATGTCTTCAAGTCCATATTGATTCAAGGGGATTTCCAAAATTGGTTTGTATCAAGCAAGATTCGTCATCCAAATTTCTATTCAAAATTCCACTCAAGGTTTTAATGTGCTCAAGTTAGTCGAACGTCATCAAGGTTCTTAAACTTTGTTTTGATCATGGTGTCAAAGAATCTGATTCGAGCAAGATTGGAAAATTGAAGTTCGAATTTCAAATTTAAGATTGAATTTGGGTTCATTTATCGAAGCATTCATTCAATTCTTGATGCCAAAAGTTCATAAGTTCAATTAATCATAATAGCATCAAAAAGCTTTGTTCACAACGTTTTGAGTTTCTTAAAGTGGATAAAGGTTTTATGTCCAAATGGACACCAATTTTAAGATTCATCTTTATTCGTTCAAATATTTCATTCTTGAGTTCAAAATCATTGAAAAAAGAACAAGTAAAAACTACTTCCATGGTCATTCATATTATTCAAATTATTCGAGTTCATCCATTCAATTTCAAACTTCAAGTGCTTTTCCATTCACCATGCTTATCTGTTGGTATACAGAAATCCAAAAGGATGCATTATGTTTCAAGAAAATTGTTACAAGATTAAAAGTGATGCTTCATTCATGAGAAATTTCCACTCAAAGTTTTAAGTGAAGAAAATCACATTTAATGTTATCATTCAAGTGGCAATTCAAAGAAAGTTACAATTTCAATCTTATTCATGAAAGTTTTCTTCACATGGTACAAGAGAAAAGATATAAAAGCTAAAAGTCTTGAACTTATGTCGTTTCTAATCTTAAAGCCAATCACCAAAATCCTAATCATCACCAATTCTTCTAGCTATGGGTATGTAAAATAAACCTTCTACAAGCCCTGTCAGAACACACTTACAGTCTACAAAGTAAACATTTCCAAAACCCTTGCCAACACTTTGCAAACCTGTATAACCAGAAAACTCACCATATAAAAATCAGAAGCAAATCAGTTACCCAGAAAACACAATCAGACCAAGTTAATTGAGCATCCAAAAAAGCTAACAAATATTAACAGAGTTCTCTTTGCTTTTCTAACTTCTAACATATTTTTCAGAATGACTTCTACTATAACAGAATTTCTTATTATCTCAGCTTAACAATACAAGGAAAAGATCAGGAATGTCAGAAGAAATACCAGTATATCCGTGAAAATAGAAAATCAGAAATAACAAGCCTGCTGCTTCCAAGCCCAAGCCGACTGCGAAAACCAAGCCAGCTGCCAAATACCAAGCTGCACATCAAAATAAGTTGTATAATCAATTTCATGACACGCCAAAGCAGGTTATAACCAAGCTGTGCATCACAATAACTAAAAAAACAATTCACGGTTAATCATAATCATAAAAACTCAGAGGAGGTGTAAGCTCATAACAGAATAAATCCCAACCATCCATATCTCTAACAGAAATTCAAATCAACAGTTCAAATCAGTTCAACCTCTAACTAACTTTGTAATCTTCAACCAACTATATAACAGAACTCACCAGATTTATCAATCAGGATTCTTGAATTCTCTGAAGAATCACAGGACAAACTCTCTCATCTTCTCTCTGCCTTCTGTTCTTCAACCTTCCACGATTCTTCATTCTCTTCAGAAGAATCACAAAAAATATCTGAAAAATCTCATTCTTCTCTCTGCAAATTCCATCATTCTTCACTTTTGCTGCAATTTCTCTTTGCTCTATCCATAACCGTTCTTCAAAGCCTTCTCAATATCCAAAAAATCTCTGCAACCTATTCTTCTACTTGCTTCAGCATTTGCTTCAGCATTTGCTTCGATCAGCATCCTCCAACCGTTATCATCTTCAAAACTCTCTACATCTTCAACGTTCATCATCTTCTTCATCTGCAAGAACAACAACACACAATTTCAGTATCAACGCAAATTCGCAACAATTTCAATTTTCATCAACATTACTTCAATGATTCTTCATCACAATAACAATAACATGAACCTTTAGCACGAGACAAACGTGACACAAAATCGAACAGGCAACGATCACGACTCGCGCAACAAAAATGCAGATAAATTGAAGGAAGAAGAATAGTTGAAGTACTTACCTCTGGATTTCCGATAACCATCGCCGAATATCTCCGGTAGGTAAGCTGTGACGTTTTCTTTTCTTCATCTTTTTTCTTCACTGTGTTATGTGAAAGAAATGTGAAGTTCATGTTAAACCAGAAGCGAATTGAGTGTGAGGTGGAAACGCGATGCAGTTGAGAATTGAGTTAAAGCCTTGAGCAAAAAAAAACAAGATGGCTTGAATGTAGATCGTGTGAAGAAGAAGGTACCGGAGGTAAGAGAGGTTGAGAGAGGTGAATCGGAAGAGGAAGCAAGGCAGACGGCGGAGATGGATGAATCGCAGCGGCAGAAATCTGAGATGAGAAGAAGGAGGCCGTGACATTGATCCTCAAAAGAAGAAGAGAGGTTGAAAATCTTGCATCTCACAGGGAAGATGAATAGCCACAAGTGTTGAACCCTATCTCTTTTAACCCCAATCTGCACCGTTCAAATTGAATTTCAGAGTTTTCCTTTTATTATTTTTTTTATATAAAAAAACAAATAATTGAAATAATGAAACTGGATCATGGATGTTTGTTTGATCGGGCCACATTCATCACACTAGCCTGCAAATCCCTTCATTGTTGGCCTAAAAGTTATTACAAAAATCTCCCTGGGCCATGGACTGAATTGCACAACTTGGGCCCACTATCCATTTTTTGAAAGCCTGGTGAAGAAGCAGACAAAAAAGGCCTTGCTGGACTCACAAGTTGGGCCTAGCGCCCAGATTACTTCAGCAAACCCCTGGATTATTGGCTTGCACCCCCCTGAGTTATTTGCTATTTGCAATTTCTTTTGAATAATTTTGTTAATTGTTTAGACTTGTTTGAATTTTCTTCACATGATAAAAATAATAAAATCAAGTATAAAAATTTGTTGGATTTTTTTACTTGATTTTTGGAATTAAATCTCGATTATCCGATTACTCGAGATTTCTAATTCACCTGTGCTTTTTGAGATTTGAGTCTTATTCAGGATATGCGGATGCACTTGGGATTTTGATTGTGATTTATTTTCACATCGATGATGCTCTGACACTTACCCCAAGCATTTGATTTCAGACTCTTTTTTTTGCTTGGGGAAGCTTACTCAAAGTTTTATGGATTTCTCTGCTTTGCTTGCCATGCTACGGACATTTGTTCATTTGGAATTTTCTCCGGTTTATCTCATTTTAGCATTTATCGCTTTCTAGAGATCATGTGAAGTAGGAAGCAGGAAATAAAGAGTGTGTGCTCGAAGTCATTGTTTAATGTCCTGTGGAAGGCACCACTTTCTGTATGCTATTTGTGTTTGTTTAAAATCCTACCTTTTAAGTAGGTATTTCACACGTGTGTTTATATTTGTGCCCGTTTTATATTACAGATAATAATTCCTCAAAAGGAGAAAAGCGGGGAGGGTCTGTAATCAGCCCCCATACATTCTAGTCCGTGTCATCCTTAGCTCACGTTGTACGTTGATGCTTTGGAGTCATGCAGATCTTATGTATCGAGTCCGTCAAGTGGGAAGGATTTTACAATCAAACCCCCATGCTTTGTCGGGAGTTTGCATTGGCCGATGCTGACACTCTGTGATCATTCATATTGTCTTCAGTCTCCTACCTCGATCTTCTATATCTTGGTTAGGCGTTCAGCCGCTTTGGATGTCACATTTTTTTATTTCATTTGTCTCCCGCTTGTTTGATTCGGGTGATACGCTCCCCTTAGCTAAAGCATTTATTTTCTTTCCCCCATCCCTTTGAGTCAGTATGTACTACTCATGTTTGTGTGCTTTTGCCAAAGCACTTGTTTGCTTATTTGTTTTCCATACCATGCTTCCCTTAGGATTGCTCGATTAGATTAGCTTTTGAGCTAGACATTAGGGTAGGTATCCATGCATGCTAACATAGGTGTAATACGGTGAGAGAACTGACTTGGTTGTTTTGCGTTTGATCGCAATTGTTGCGGATAGCAAGAGTTGCCACCGACTTTTCTTTTATCCAATAAGGAAAGGGTGAAAAGAACAGGAAATACCTTTGAGATTATTTCTTGAGTTAGGGGGGTAGATTATTAAAAGGGAACATGTTAGCACCCTTTTCATCCATAGTTACCTATGGGATCTTAGTTGCTCACTAGATCACTTGCTTTGGTTGAAAATATTCTGTGGTGGGTTTTGAAAGTATTTTTGAAAAGCGCCTTCGTTGAGGTAAACTTTGCTATGATTCTCGTATCTATAAGAATGCATACAAAGTGTTGGACCTTTTTTTGAAAATAGTTCAAAGAGATGTTTATTTTTGAAGATGTTTTTGAAAGTGTAAATCTGGAAATGGTTTTGATTTGCATGCAAGCAACTAAGAATGTTCTACTTACTCAAAAGTCTTTTCGTTTGTTTCCTCCTTCCTTTGATATTTATATCTTACCATAGATTGGTAAGAAGCCTTATCTTTGGATGTAAAAGGGACGGGCGTGGGTCATCGTATAGTCATGAATAGCAATATTGTGAGATATCTTAGTATTTCTCTTGAGGGACTCAGATCATTTGTAAGGAAATATTCGAAGCGTCATTGAGGGACTATGATCTTTTAATTGTTTTTGCTAAAACGTCTCACATGCATATTATGACCATTTTCTCAAGGGAATAAGTGGAGTTAACCCTAGAAGTGCATGTGTACAAGTGTGTTTGATTGCATGCATTTTTATCTTGAATTTAGGATTTTCTAAGCATTGGTTTTAATCTTGCCATACACACTCTAATTACTAGCATTTATATGAAAGCGGTAAATTGCGGAAAATAAATTTACTACACTATTACATCACTTAGGGATGGGGATACAAATGTACAAATGGGGATAAAAAAATTCTAATTATCTATTACAACCATATTGAATGTGAATAAATGTACTATAATTGAAATTAAAATAAAATGAACTTTGTTTTGATTTTTGTTAGGGAAAGGTTTTGATTAATTAAAGTAATTATGAAAATAAAATATTTTTTGTGATGTTTTTATATGTTCATGAAATAAAACTTGTAAATAAATAGTGTATAAAAAATCAAATCAAAAGGAGTTGTTTTGATTGGTTAGAAAGATATTTGAAGTTTGTTAGAAAGAAAAAGGAAACAAAACAAAAGGTAAAAACTATTTTGGTCCTGCCAAGGTTTGAACTCAGGACCCTACATAGAAATGCCTTTCGCGCGCGCTGTTTTTACAACTGAGGTGGTCTGTTTCATCCGTTCATGAGGCAGCTTCGATTGGGTACAAAGTAAACTTGTTTCTGAATGTTTAAAGTGCCCAGCTCCCACATTCGATTGCAGGAATGCAAAGCTCCCAAGTTGAGATTCGAAAGGCTTCAATGTCCAACCAATTGAAGGACACACACAACTTGCCTAAAGTTTGGACATGAACCTAACAAAGGTAACTTTAGAAAGCTACAGGCCAAGGGTTAACACAAGTTTATTTGGCACTAAATCCAAAGACTAACTATATAGGCAGTGATAATTGAAAGCTAAAGCATGGTCAACTTCCTAGATGTGATATCTACATTTTTCTTTTATTTATACGTACAAATCATATTTGAATGGAAAGTTCCAAGTTTAGAGGAAACTTACCTCTTGAAGTGCCAATTAAATTAGTTGTATGTGACTTCCTTGGTGGTGGATTGAGATTTGTTGGAACCTTCCTTAAGATACTGGGACCACTTCTCTGCTTGAATCAAAAGGTTGGTATTTGACAGCTATGAGGAAATCGAAGGTGTTGTTATACTACAGTTTGGGAGAGTGAATCGAAGGTTGTGTTATACTGTAGTTTAGGGGAATGAATCGAAGGGTTCACTACTGTTAAAGGGATCTGAGATTTTTTGTTAGAGTTTTATAGTTTTGAAGGTTTTAGAATGTTGGAGAGTTTGAGAGTTTGAGAGTGTTTGAGGATTTGATGATTTTTCTCTATAGCAAAAATATGGCTCCTTTCTTTGTTAGTGGTTTCTCTATTTATAGAGAAAAGGTTTGGGAGTTTGAACAAAATATGGCTTGGCTGAAACGTGAATTTTAAGTTATGTCAGATTTTCCATGATCCCAAGGTGAAGTACCAAAGTTGTTGATTAAAAGGGGCTGATTTCCATGACTTATGGTGAAGTATAATCAGGGTTTAAGCAAGGTATGGGCTTAAGACAAATTTTGTACTAGCAAGTTTACTTCATGAAAAAAATCTTTTGTACAAAGGCTTAATTACCTGGATAATAACTTAATTCATGATGTAAATAATTAATTATGGAGTGAAACACAAGCATTGAGGCCTATAAAGTAAGATCATGTAGCATGTCCTATGGATTTGATTAGTGTTCCTTTAAAAATTCTATTTTCCATTTATGTGTCGAAGGGTTTTAGGAATGTATCAAAGCAGGTTGCTTCGATGGGAGCAACATGCCCAAACGAAGCTTGTGGACTAAACTTGCATCGAAGGAAACTTCATACCCAAACGGAGGATGTAACCCAAACTTGCATTCAAAGGGCTCACTTGCCCAAATGAAGAATGTAACCAAAGCTTTCATTGAAGGAAACCACATGCCTAAACGAAGGATGTAAACCAAACTTGCATTGAAGGAAGCCATATGCCCAAACGAAGGATGTAACCAAAGCTTGTATTCGAAGGAAACTTCATACCCAAATGGAAGATGTAACCCAAACTTGCATTTGAAGGGTTCACTTGCCTAAATGAAGAATGTAATCAAAGCTTGCATTGAAGGAATCCACATGCTCAAACGAAGGATGTAAACCAAACTTGCATTGAAGGAAGCCACATGCCCAAATGAAGGATGTAACAAAGCTTGTATTCGAAGGAAACTTCATACCCAAATAGAGGATGTAACCCAAACTTGCATTTGAAGGGTTCACCTGCCCAAATGAAGAATGTAACCAAAGCTTGCATTAAAGGAAGCCACATGTCCAAACAAAGGATGTAACCAAAGCTTGTATTCGAAGGAGGCCACCTGCCTAAACGAAGAATGTAACCAAAGCTTATATTGAAGGGGGCCACATGCCCAAATGAAGGATATAATCCAAATTTGCATTCGAGGAAGGCCTCATGCCCAAACGAAGGATATATGTAGGGGGGTCTTAACGGTGCAACCGAAGGATGTATATAGGAGGTAAATGGTGCAATCAAAGGATGTATGCAGGAGGTAAATGGTACAATCAAAGGAAACCTTTAGAAGGCCAATGCCTTCTGAAGGAAGCTTTCAGAAGGTCAATTTGTTTTGAATCTAAGAAAGCCTTCAGAAGGCCATTGCCTTCTAAATATAAGGAATTCAATAAGAAGCCATTACCTTCTGAATAGAATGAAGCTTTCAAAGGGAAATAAATGCCCAGTGAAACTTGTGAAGCAAGCATGAATCGAAGAAATTCCCAGCATGAATCGAAGCAATCTTGCCTGTCTTCAATTTTTTTCAAAAAATCAAATATATATTCTTTTCCTTTTCAACAGTTTCCTTTTTGACTCGACGCTTGAAAATTCAATATGGTCCATGGAAATCATGTGGGGCGTTGAAAATCCAATTATACTTGTGTAATCTTGAACATTAATAAATCCTTGTGAGAAAATGTCTTGAGAAAAGAGAGAGAAAATTTTGGGGTACAACAGCTTCCCCTGTTCAATCTTCTTAAACCTGAAGAGTTAGATTGGTGAGTCTGTCATTCGTGACTTGATGGTGGAAGATGATTGAACACTAGAGTGCCCAGAAATTTGCACTCGATGAAGTGGTGAATTAGGAATGGGCTTAGAGATGCAATTTGGAAAGATGATGGAGAAACATCTGAAATGGGCTTACAGATGCCATCCATAGCGACTGTTGTTGGAGAAACGAAAGAAGTATCCGAATAAATCTTTTGGTCAATTTATACTGAAGCGTCACATGTCCTTTGCCTGTTTTTAACTGGAGGGAATAAATATAACTAGAAGAGGTCTTTGATACGCCTGTCTTTAATTAGAAGAAATAAATATAAACATAAGAGGTCTTTGACACTTTTGTCTTTAACTGGAAGAAATAAATCTAACCAGAAGAGTTCTTTGATACGCCTGCTT